TATAGGTTGGGAAACGCTGCTCTAAACTGATGGCTAGTAAAGTAAATGATAATATTGTTTGAAAAATTATTAATCTATAATACTAACATGATAATATAAAAATAGTTTGTTATACAATAAAATAAAAATATAAAATATAAAATACTTTTTAAAAAAATTTGGATTTTTAAATTAAAATGCAGTAAATTATTATAAATGTATTTTAAACCTATTTAAGAGGCACAGAAATAACTGATATTTTATAAATGTATAATAGCAAAAGAAGTTTTTTAGCCATTATTTAAGGTATTTTTTGTAAAAATAAGAAAATGTAATGCTAGAATTTATATTTCAATTATATAAATATTAACCAACAATGAGGGCCCGGATTTATTTACAGTACCGTTATTGGAAAATACATTTGAGGGTCCTGCATGTATTGTTCCATATTGTTCTGCAGCCTCCCATAATTTAAACCATCTTCTTAATTCCCATTTTTCAATTTTGTTTCCCGTCTAATATTATCAAATTGCTTCTTTCTAGTTACATCTAAGCTATAACCATATCTTGTATAATATTATTGACTAGAAAAATCTATGCTATTGAATTTAAATTAAATTATTTAAACGCTCAGTTATATATTTTTAATTTTAGGTTACATAACGGTTTCCATTACGATTTCATTAAAAACTCTAGAACTATCCCAACTCTCTTATAAAAGATTTCTCTATTCCTACAAACCCAGATTAAAAAATGATCCGTAGATTAAAAAAGAAATTGTGCCGTGATTTATTACAAAACTAAATACTAATTTGTGATGTAAGATTTAGGTGGGAAAAAAATTTAATAACTAGTCAAAAGGTATTAATAGGTGACTTAATCAACCACTTCATGTCATTTTATACTTTCATTGTATATATTTATTGTGCAGATAATTGCAGATAATAATTTATATTTTATGGAAATCAAAAACTTCCATAAGTGATTTCTCAACAATACAAACCCACTCATAAAACAAATCTCTTCTCCCACCCTTTCCTAAAATTCCCCTAGACGCCTAAAAAGTTTTAGTGTAGAGACCTTCTCCTCCAACCATGGAGAAACTTCCCTCAACACTTAAACAAATAAGTAAAGTTTATCATTATAAAATAAAGTAAGAGTCAGTAGGAGAACCGGTAATGATCGGTTGCTTCTCTAACCCTACTTGATATTATTGTTCTTTTATTTCTGTTATACTTATTGTATTATATAGAATGTAATTTTATATTCTTTTTCTAAAAAAAAAAGTAAAATAAAATATTTTATGGTATTACTAACTCTTAAACGAATTTGACTATCTTATTCAATATATGTTTTTATTAAAAATATTTTGAAGTTGTACCTGTTTTAATATCAAATACTCCATTAAAGTTTTTATCTGATGAAAGCCATCCATGAGTAATGATTTTTAAAGGTAAGTCCTCAAACCAGTATTTTTTAATATTTGTTACGTTGTTCGATTCGATTTTTATTGGTTTGTCATTTCCAAGACACCTATGAAAATAGACAATAAAAACTCATATATGTATTCTAAAATATTTATATTAATTTATACAAGTAAGTATAATTAAACATTAAATAATTATAATATTTACTATATTTTTTATTATGTTTTATTTTTATTTAATAAGTTCAATTAATCATACGAATTCCAGTAGAAGATATCCAATTTTTTCTCTGTGATCAACGATTTTTTCTTGACATTTTGAACAGCATTATCGTTCGTATTTTTGCAATCTTCATTTTTCGCATTAATTTGACCTAAGTTGAAGAAAAAATTCTTTTAAAAAAAAGCGAAAAATGTACGGTGTTTTTTTTTTTTACAAAAATATGACAATGATTCTACTATAAAAAATAAATACAGCATTTCAATATTTTATACTTTGAATCTAAGCAATTCAAAGATTCTTATCGTCAATTATAGCTAGTCAGTTTATGTTCTAATAATCATACAAACCGTTAAACAACTGACACATAAACAGTATAATTATTGCGTCAAAGATATTCATTTCTAAAAAATACAAATACATATGATTACGAACCAGCTTCAATAAGTACAAAACCATTAAAATATCTAAAATTAATAGTACCTAATATATTAATTAATAGATGTAGTTTATATTTGATTTCTCACACGATATGATTCCACTATTTCAGAAAGAAAAGTGTACACAGGAATTATTATGTATTTTTCGTTTTCTAAAGTAGTTCATTAAGTAACTTTTACTAAATCCATCCAAGCAATAATCATTTTCAATTCACGGAATACATATTATGAACAACAGTTGATCATTACAAAAGCAATTCGATCAATATGAATAAAACATCTGGTATGTGTTTGTTTTAGTTGTTTATTTCTGATATTATTTTATTGACTACAAAATTATGTTTAAATATTAAAAATTTTATGTCATGTATCATAATTCATTATTTTTTTTTTTCATAGAGAATATTTACAAACTGTGTTAGAATTGCACAACAGAGCTTGCGCTAATGGGTAGTTCTAAATTAAAATGGGCAATTCTAAAAACCAATTTAGTCAGTACCAAAAATCGTGAATTTTCTGTATTATTGGTATATGTAATATTGTTTAATTTAATTATGTATATTATTTAATATTTTTTGTTAAATAAAAAAAAAATATATTTTAATCTGTTATTAATATTAAAGTGTTTACAAGTGTAGTCAATATATAGTTTAGTAAACAGTAGTTGTTAAGCAAATTTAGCAAGCGACAAATTTATTTAATCTGCATGTACAAAAATATTAAAATGTTGGGCAGTTCTAAAATGTTCTTAGCACAAGCTCTGTAGCACAATAAGCAAATATGATAATTTATGTAAAATTTAACTGCGTGAATAATATGAGAAGGGAGACCAATCAGTGATGGAACTCAATATTGTGTTAAATGATCGGCGAACCGAATATACAATAGGTATATCCAAAATAAACTTTAAATTGTAATGATATGCGCCTAAGCATTCATATATTTTTAAAAAAAATGAATGTACAATTAAATAACTATAATAATCAGTACACATTAAATATAAGAATAGGTCATATGTATTAAAGATAAAATATGACGCACACACACATACATACACGTACACGCGCACACACACAAAGTTGACATTAAACATAAGGAGTAACATTTTCAAACACTTTGGAGACGCCTTCTTGTTATTCTTTTCGTATAGACGGTCAAAAGCGAGTGTAAAAGACTACGCAGATCGTCTATGCAGAAAGATAAAATTAATTGTAAAACTTCTGTAAAAGTTTAAAATAAGTGTATTAATGTGTATATAAGTAATTTAAATAAAGTTAATATAAATGAGTTAAAAAAGAAAGTTATTGTCATTTTAAAATATAATTTGGTCACCTTATTCCATACCTGAAGAGTCAACTACGGTTGTCAAGAGACAGACCGACACAATTATCGGAGAGGTAATATTAAAAATCTATAATATAATAAGTAATGATTTAAAAAAACATATAAGTACTTCTCCAAAATGTATCATATTAACAGTCACATTTTTTTTTTTTTTTTTTATTAAAAGAACAAAAAGATCGCGGCAGCTATGGCCATTGGTCAGACAGTGACTTAAATAAATTACATAGTTACATATTTACATGATTTTATACAATATAAAGTTATATTTCTTTGAATAAGGTAGATTTTTTTAGGAAAATAAATAGTTTTTGAGTTGCGGTTGGTTCCGGGCTGAAGATTTCATATAAGTGAGTGGCTCCAAGGGTTATCATACGTTCTTGCTGGTTATTTCTGCATTCTGTGAAGATGTGCTTGATGGTGAGTTGGACACCGCAGGTAGTACAGTTGGGGGGATCCTCTCTTGTCATAAGGTGGCGATGGGTTAGTAATGAATGGCCTATTCTTAGGCGGTTTAAAATTGTTTCTTGTCGTCTGGAACAACCGGGAGGAGGAGGCCATGGGAGAATTAATTTTTTAATTTCATTGAGTTTGGTTGATTGATTTGACCATTATCGTTGCCACTTTATGGCATAAAGATTTTTTATATATTTTTTTGCATCGCTGTAGGTAAATCCTGGTACATTGATAGCTTTGGGTGATATGGGTGAAAGTTTTGCGACCTCGTCGGCTTTTTCATTTCCTGTTATATTGCAATGTCCTGGAATCCACATGAAGGATATGTGTTTCCCGGCAGAACATGCAATGTGATAAATGTTGTGAATATTTCTAGCTATATCGGTAGGGTTATTTATATTTTTGAAGCTTGTTATTGCACTGAGTGAATCGCTTAGTATGATACAGCGTTTATCGTCGACAGATTGTATGAAATATTTGATTGCTTCTAGTATAGCCATGGCTTCGGCGGTATATATTGAACATTTGTCAGATAGTTTAAATTGGATTTCAGTGTCACCACATATGATTGCAACCCCAACTCTTTGATCTGTTATGGATGCGTCTGTGTATATCTGTATATGAGGTTCGGCATTGGCTATGATTTCATTAAAGTGGTATTTATATATTTTAGGGTTAGTGTCCTTTTTGGGGAACTGATGTAGTTCGAGATTGATATCTAGGGAGATTGTCCAAGGTGGCTGAAGGCTGATAGTTGATGGTATGATCTGATCTAGGTTCAATTTGTCTTGTAAATTTGTGAATAGATTATTGGGAGATGTGGAGATTCCTTGTGG